ATCCCAGTTGGTTTGTACATCTCTCTGCCACTATCAAACACAATAAATGCAAGAAAATGTGTCACTACACTCAGGAATGCCACTTAATAATGCTAAACACCTATGTGTGAGGACAACTGTACCCTAGACTTACCTGAATCTTGGAGAATCACGTTGGCATTCTATAGTATCTATGATTGCCTTCATCTTGTTGTAATCAGCACCTTAGGATAAGAAATGTCAAATGTTATACTACTATTATTTATGGTGTAATGTTTAGAGAGAGAGAGAGAGAGAGAGAGAGAGAGAGAGAGAGAGAGAGAGAGACAGAGAGAGAGACAGAGAGAGAGAGAGAGAAAGAGAGAGAGAAAGAGAGAGAGAAAGAGAGAGAGAAAGAGAGAGAAAGAAAAAAAGAGAGAGAGAAAAAAAGAGAGACAGAAAGAGAAAGAGAGAAAGGGAGAAAGAGAGAAAGGGAGAGAGAGAAAGAAAGAAAGAAAGGGAGAGAAAGAGAGAAAGAGAGAAAGAAAGGGAGAAAAAGAGAGAAAGAAAGAAAGGGAAAGAAAGAGAAAGAAAGAAAGAAAGAAAGGGAGAGAAAGAGAGAAGGAAAGAAAGGGAGAGAAAGAGAGAAAGACAAAAGGAAAGAAAGAGAGAGAAAGAAAAGAGAGAGAGAGAGAGAGAGAGAGAGAGAGAGAGAGAGAGAGAGAGAGAGAGAGAGAGAGGGTGGATGAGGGAGAGAGAAAGAGGGAGAGGGAGAGAGGGAGAGAGGGAGGGAGGGAGGGAGGGAGGGAGGGAGAGAGGGAGGGAGGGAGGGAGAGAGGGAGAGAGAGAGAGGGATGGGTGGGGGAGGGAGAGAGGAGAGAGGGAGAGAGAGGAGAGAGAGAGGGAGAGAGAAAGAGGGAGAGAGAGAGAGGGAGAGAGAAAGAGGGAGAGAGAGAGGGAGAGAGGGAGAGAGGGAGAGAGGGAGAGAGGGAGAGAGAGAGAGAGAGAGAGGGAGAGAGAGAGAGAGGAGAGAGAGAGGGAGAGAGAGAGAGAGAGAGAGAGAGAGAGAGAGAGAGAGAGAGAGAGAGAGAGAGAGAGAGAGAGAGAGAGATTCTTTTTCATTACACACATCATATGTTCAACAAGAAGGAAAAAAATATATATATTTCTATAATTTATTCACCAAGCAAACCCAGAGTCTTGTTAACCCAATGATGACTCGTCTTTCTTGTCATTCCATACCCTACACTATGAGCCAATTACAGTCATCTACTTGAAAAATTTTGAAACATGGAAGCATATATCTTTCCTTCTCTTTTTGATTTTGGTGCAGCATATACAAGTTTTAAGGAAATGAGGCTATAAAGAGACTAAGCAGTTAGAGATGAACGAGCAAACAGCCACTTGGCCAAGAAATTTAGAACATGGATACTTGTCACAGAGTATGTTGACTTGGTTCATCATTGCAAGAATAAGTGGCATCTGGGCTTAATGGGTTAAAATTTGCAAACCAGCTCTCCCTTCCTTAAAGAACCATACTAGTTATACTGATAAAAAAGTAACTAAGATTATTTATCTGTCTTATGATGAACTGTTGATGATGTCAAAAGTTATCATATAATTTCAGTTCTTTATGTGGCTGTTTTAATATTCATCTTTATGTGCTTACATTTTTATAATTCAAGGTAATTTTCATTTATGTTTAGTATCTATCCATTAGCAACAATCTTAGTTCTAATAACTATAATAGGTACATATTGTACATGAAATAAGACAGGAAAATAATGGGCCAGGAAAAGAAGGGAAATACTATACAAAACAAATGAGCATATACAAAGGCACCAGAAAATATTGCAAATGAGAAAAATGATATATAATCATCACACATATTAAGATAATAAGATTGATCAATCCCAGAAAGTCAGGAGATGGTTGTGGCTATATGCAATATTTATGTAAAGTCCCCTTGAAGAACAAGATATATTCTTAACTATTTTTAAACTGACTCTTTTGCTGGCCTGATGCACATTCTCCAATAAACCCAAGGTTCGTATTGTTACTATGAGCTATAAAGATAATTGTGCTATCACAGGATAACTTGGACTGCTTACAATTGTTCTCATTATCAATAATAATAATAATAATAATAATAATAATAATAATTATAATAATAATAATGAAACAAAAAGAGAAAGAAAACACTACAAATTGTCTATAAAAATAAGAGTTAATATAAAGACATTTATGCATATATCTATATTTATTTACTTATATATCCTATAAAATACCCTGTTTTCAATAAAAAGAATCCAATGTATATGCCTATATATGGGAGGCTGAATGCTAAAGGCTTCAAACTTTCAGCTAGTGGGTGGAGGAAGTTGCTGTGAGCTGAGGTCAACCAAAAAAATGTTCAGCCATTACCACTACTAAGAGTATCATACAAAATTATAGTCAGGAAGCAAAACGATGACAAACAATTCTAAACTCACACATCAATTACGATAAAAATAATAACTCTTGGAGTAGCCAAGGAATCTCTAAAAGTATTACAAACACAAGTGGACATTAGAGTTGTGCAGACTACAACAGAACATACCTACAGTGTGTCTTATTGGCTAGCAGAAAAAGTGTACATAAAACTGTTTACTATCAACATAAGCCAGGTAATCCTAACATTAGTCTACTGCAATAACCTCCAGTTTTGATTTCTAAAATAGTAATTTCATAAATCTAAACCTATATGCCCCAAGCAGTATAAACAATTTGGTAGATTGCATGTTCTGATTCAATGTCTATCTTGCCATATATATGTGCTGTTTGAAAGTGCACTGAATATTGGCCCCTTGTGTTTTATTAGTATGAAGTGATTATATACAGCAGTAGGTACCAAGAGTTAAAATTTACATCAATATTAATTACACTTTCATACATCTCATGTAATTTCTGAAATATAAAATGTCATCTCCTTGTCTTTTGACAAATTTTCTATCAAGTTCATAATAAATTAAAAAAGTATAATCATATATGTAAAACTATCTATGGCAATTACTTAAGATAGGACCACACAGAAAAAAGGAAAAACTAATGTAAAAGACTTCAGACACACACACAAAAAAACCCCACTAGTGTGGAGCCAATTAGTAAGCCAGTTAGTAGGCCCCAGTTTCTCATGCCTTGAATTTGCAGGAAAATGTGTTTTTTCTCTTATATTATCAATATTGATATTGATATTGATATAATCATTACTGATATCATTATTATAATGGGTAATTCTTAACAATACTGATGTATTCACCAAAGACAGTCCTCTAAGTCCATGCCAAAAAATTTATTCAAAGAAAAGGGTAAACAGGTGAGATAGGTATATAACTATAACTGACTCCTTGGTGACTAAGCACTTCCACAACCATCTATATATAAGGACATTTAATAAACTAATAGTACAGTATTGTTGCCATCTAGGAAAATTTGGTTAAGCAACACAAGGGCCACCATGCTTCCCACTCTGGCAATGGCTAAGGAACTTTACTACCTATTGTCTGTAGATCTTCCTGCGAATTTACCATCAAGTAGGGAACCAGGACAAGCACTATCATACCAGAATATGTAAGGTGGGGGTCAGAGCCTATCTTGATGTAGTCCTATTGTAACATACTATAGTAGCTTCTATTTCTCTCCTGCAGGCTGAGACAAATAGAGTTAATGTTTACCACTCAAGTTATTTCATTCCATAGCAACGGATCTATTTCGTGAAGATACAAACCAACTGCTTTGTGTTGAGAGATTGTTCTTTCTTAGCTTTATTTTGCATAAAAATTACATTGTAATTTATGGCAGATAAGGTGCAAATGACAGGTAACATGCATGTCATGCATAATATTCACATATTATGAGCGATCTATTGAACAGACAAGATAATAGGGGCAAGAGTATCCCATCCTAATGAAAATATGTGACACAGAGTCTATAATTATGACATATGCTCTACACTGTCATACTAGTGCTTGAAGAAGGCATCAAGATTGCTGAGATAGGAATGTTCGTAATTGCTTTCTGCATGTGTTATGCTCATGGATCAAATCTGGGGACTCAGCCTCCAACATTTTATCATATGGTAAGCCTCTTGATATTACTGCACACTCTTCACGTTGAAAACATCCATATGCTACATCCTATTGTTTATATTTTGGGGGGTGTCCATCTTCCAGGGGGGGGGGCAGTAGCACCTCTTAGACTCTTAGAGGGAGTGTCCAGGGGGCTGTTCCTTCCCTTCACATTTTACTCCACTGAAGCAAAAACTGTGATATGTATTGGGGTTTACATGCAATAATTCTTAGATATATGAATATTAGAGGAAGAGAGGAATCCACCTGTACCAATACTGCCATGATCGGTTATGCACAAGTATCTAAAATAATTACCCACGATAGAAAATATTCATGTTCCTACTATCATTAGCAAACTAATGACAAACTATCTGAACTTCTGGAGTTAGTCACTTGGAGATTTAGTGGCATTATCACTGTAGCTCACAGAGCCATATTGGTAAAACAGGCCAAGTGGATGTATAAGCAACTACATTCTGTCATATAGTGTTTCGACACTGTGGCCGGCAGCCGGTCACATAGACACTTCCATTGGTAAAAACGTTTGTTATTCCACTGAATAATAACACATAATTTCCTTTCGGAATAAAAGTTGATACTTAGGGAAAACAAAGGCTCTCTCCCAAGCTCCTAACTGAAATATCACGATGAACGACTCAACTCTGCATTAAATTGGGCGAAATTATGAATAAAGACGTGTTATTTCCGCTGAAGTCGCGAGAGATCTGACCATCAAGAGAGGAAAAAAGGTCATGTTACCCTTAATAAACGGGCGCTGGAGGCTTAAGGTCGACCTTGGCCTTGCTCTCCCAACCCTCGGAAGTGGTCGGTCTTCTGGTTAAGTCGAACGCGTCCAAGACATCAGCTTTTTTCCCCTTTTTCAGCGAAAAAATTAAAGCGAGAAAAACTTATTTCTTCTGACACATCCGTAAG